CCAAGGTTCCTACAATACGCTTGCTTCAAGGGAGTTTGAAAGGGAAGCACACACAAAACTCCACTGACCCAGGCCTGCCTCTTAAGCAAAGTTGCCTTCAAAACTCTAGCCCAAGCTCTGGTGTCACCTCAGGATCATCAAAGCCTGAGAGCCAGAGGTCCACCCAGGCCAGGCACTGGGAGAAACTTGCCCTAGCTGGGAGTGGGAGGGCAGGGTGCCTTCCTCTGGGCTTCTTTATCTCCTGGCGTCTGATCAGATTTCCTGTTCTGCGCCACACACACAGCTCTCGTAAAGAAGACACAGAACAACTCAGCATCCTTTCCACGGGGTGTCATGCTGGGCCGGATGATCCCAGAGCAGCATCCCTCCAGGCAACAGCCTTGTCACCACGGCATCTCCTGCTTCAGCTCAGGTGGCCCAGCCAGTCTCCAGCCTTCCCGACTGAAGGAACTCTGAATCTCACCCATCGGAATGAACTTTAATCTTCCAGTCCAAAGCGATGCAGTGACAGGGTTTGCCAGCAGCCTTCAGCAGCCTTCCAAAGGCACACATGTAGCTGGCATCAACCATCACACTGCAGGGTGATGACGGGTGGTGAGTATGCTGTCATCTGTGGGGATGGGGGAGGAGTGAAAATCCATGGCTAAAAATGAGGCCTTGGGGGGACAAGCAGCTGTGGCTTCAGGTATGGGAGGGAAAGAGAGGGCCATCTGCTCTCCCATCATTCCTGCAAGATGCCTTTTAGAACAAAAATGTCCTTGCATTTCCTTCCTTGCAAAATGAATCAAAACTTGCAAAGTAGTTCTGTATGCTGGCTCCACAAATTGCCGCATTCATTCATGGGATAAATATTTACTAACCTTTCTATGGACCCGGCTTGGTGCTGGGCACTGGGTGCAGTGAGGGCCACAGTGACATGGTCCCTGCCCTCGAGGGCTGTGCTGAGTCTCTACAACCCTCCTGCTCACAGTTCACATACAGATAATGTTCTTCTAGATCCTAGGTACCCCCAAGCCCTACAGAGTCGAGACTCAGGCACAGGTTTCAGAGTCGGAATAAGCCAAAGTAGGACATGCCACCCATACGTAACAGACTCCTCGGGGAAGGTTCTTCTTGGTCTGAACCCTAACACGGCTGATCCCACACACAGAAGACAGTGCCATTCCTGAGCTTATCCAGAGATCGGGCCTAAAGAGAGCCCAGAAAACTGGCTATTAGAGGGACTCATGAGGCCCCCAGACCAAGTCCTGACGTTGCTCAGGGTCAGACAGTGTCAAGATCCAGGGGAGACTGCCTCCCAGCCTGGCCTCCAAAAAGACAGGGCTAAGGTAACGTGCTGGAGCACTTGAGGAAACTGTTCTTCGTAGGGAAAGCAGAAAAAGACAATTTCCCAACTGCCCCTTTTTACCTGAATAGAGTGTGTCCTCCCAAGTCTTAACGCATTTAAAAAACATTTCTGAAGAAGATGCTTAAAGTCGAAGCATCTTTACTTTAAATAGATTCTCCATGCCAGATCCAAATCTGTTGGGGTCTCAGTATCCACCAGAAAACTGCCTAAAAACCCTATATTTTAGTGTGGAAGTTCCAAGAAAGAAGACTATATTTATCTAACCTAGGCTATAAAACACCTAATTGCACAGCTAAAATTTCAAAGCACTCTAAGGGAAAGTTGGAGGGGATGGGGCCATAACAGAAATAAATTGCAGGGAAAAAGAGAGAGGGGGTTCTCGTTTGTTGCATTGACTTCTATGTGAGAGGCACAGTGCAAGGCATCTTGCGTAAATTATTTTCAGTGACCCTGACAACCCAAGAGATAATACTTCGCATCCTACTTGGCAGGTGAGGAAACTGAGGCTCGGAGAAGTTAAGCAACTGCTCAAGGTTACACAGTCAGAATCCAAGCCCACAGCTATGACTCCATAATATCACAGCCAGCAAGGACCAGAGAACCGTTTGAGGACCCACAAGAGTTACCTGATCTAACCTTGGTCTACATAAATGCTCAGCAGTCCGAAAAATGCAATCTGACGTGGCTATGTCCTCACACATAACTGAGTAAAGAAGACGTAGACTTCTAATACCCTGTCACCACAGTCTCACTGCGTCCCACCCACCCCTTATAAAAGGATGGGACAGGAGGGCAGTGAGGAAGAGTAGGACTAAACAAAGACTCTGGATCCTTCACAGGCTGCAACAGCTGGTCCCCAGAGGCACTTTTCCCAGTACCCCACACTTCCCACCCCTGTGGTCTAGCTCAGTCCCATCTTCCCAGCTCCTCCAGCTGGATTGGGGGCTGCTCTGTCTCTCTCGGGGAGCTGCTCTCTGACACAGTCAGGTGAAAATAACGGAGGTGAAGTTCAGAGTCAATGCCATTCTATTTCTGATGTGGGGAAAGGGGGTTGTCCTTCTTTATGAGTCGGGGGGAAGATGGATGACAAACTAACTCAATACCCCAACTGTCAGGCAGCTGTGACATTTGTAATAGCAACCAGATCTGAGCCTTTCACAGGACACAGCAAAGAAGGTTCTATTTGGAAAGTGCTCTGTACCCGGCAGAAAATGCAGATGTTAAAGGCAGAGACTTTGAGTCCCGGGATCCAGTCCCTAGACTGTGGACTTCGGTCAAGATACTCAGTGAGTCTCAGTTTCCTCATCTGTTAAGACTGGAAATGTAGCAGTTCTATCAAAAGTAGAACTGAGAATAAAAGAGTAGGTTGGTAGGCTTCCCTGGTGGCGCAGTGGTTGAGAGTCCGCCTGCCGATGCAGGGGACACGGGTTCGTGACCCGATCCGGGAAGATCCCACATGCCGCGGAGCAGCTGGGCCCGTAAGCCACGGCCGCTGAGCCTACGCATCCAGAGCCTGTGCTCCGCAACGAGAGAGGCCACAACAGTGCGAGGCCTGTGTACCGCAAAAAAAAAAAAGTAGGTTGGTATCTTAAAAGTTCTTGATAAATCTTAGCTACTACTATATTATTACTTCTATTATCAACTAAATCAGGGTTGTTCAAACTGCATTCTGAGTTTCACATGTTCTCACTAAAGACCCTTGGGGACTGTTCGGCAAACAAAGGTAAACTTTGGATATTTTGTGAAATTGCCCATTTTCTTTGTATTTTCCATTTGTGTGAGTGCATTTCTTTCTAATTTTATAGTACAGTGATTTTCAACTCACAGCAGTATCATCCAGAACCACGGCAAAAAGAAGTGGAAAATATTTAAGTTCCAAAAAGTTTCAAGTTAAAGAACAGTGCCACAATTACTAACTATAATCAAAATGTCTTTATGGAGAGGGCAACAATGAATATTTTTCAATGGGAGAATAATATTACTACAAACCCACAATTGCCATCTGACTCCCACAACAAGTAAATACTACTCCTCCAAACACTCTATTTAGACCTCATTCTTTCCAGTAAGGGTCACTGGCTTGAAGAGTACGATAAAAACTTAAACATTCATGTTGCAACAAAACTGTACGTTTTTTGCTTGCGCAGAGGGTACAGCTTTGTGGCAACATGAATGTCAGAGAAGCATCTCACTTCTAAAGTCTCGCTTTGTACATCGTAAAATGTGTGTCCCCCTATACACACTAAAATATGGTTTGACTTAATGTAAGACTGCCATGTATCCAAGAAGTCTCAGAACGGCTGCCCTAGGCTGGTCTGGTCTTATGTGGCTCATCTCACAATCGCTCAGAACGCCTTGTGGGGTGAACAGAAGGTGACAGTAGGAGAACCAATATCCCCATCTCCCCAGATCTTTCGGCCCCGCCTGACAGAGCACCTTTGCCCCCTCCCTCCATCCTCCCCATCCCAGCTCCGGCGGTCACCAGGAGACAACCGACACGGCCCTGCCAGCCAGCATCTCTCATCTTCAGGCCCAGGGGTTCCCAAAGCAGAAGGGTCAGTCCCCAGACCTACAGAACGGCCCTTGAATGAACAGAGCAGCAGAGGCCCACTGGACGCACCTAATCTGGCCGTTGCGAGCACGGAAAAAGGGCTGCACCCATGTGAACAATGCTACATCTATAACCCAAATGGGTCCCGAAAGGCTCCTCTGGCTCCCACTCCCCCTTTCCTCCTGACTCCTTTGTTTCTCCCGTCTCCCACTCCCTTCCCTCAGTGCCCCCCAGCCCACCCGTGGGGAGACAGGCGAGCACGGGGTTGGGGACAGGGGGAGCAGGCAGTAGTCTGAAAGTGTGCTCCGAAAGCAGCCCGAACAGCAGAGGAAGGTCACCCCTGGGGCACAGCCTGTTCTAGCTTGGCAGGCATGCATTCTACTGCAAAATACGTCACACCTACTCCTCAAATAGGCCCTTTGAGAGGCTTTGACTGTCGAGGAGCTAAACCCGTGGTTCCACACATCTCTGGCAAACCAAAGCCCTCCCGCTTCCCTGGTGGCCAACTTGAGTTTGGGGAAATGCGGGGATGGTGGTGAAGAGTGGTGTTTCCATTCCTTTGAGCGTGCCAGCACCTTCCAACGGCTGCACACCTGGCTGCTGGCTGATGAACAGCTCACGTTTCAGGGGACAGGATGGCAAAGCCACTGTTTGGTTGGGGACGCCCAGAACATGCAAATGGCTCTGAGGCCTTGGCCCTGGCCAGGTTTTGCCCCCCACCGGCCTCCTCTCCCCTTCTCTCCCCACCCCTTGAATCCAATTCACTTACAGCCACACCAAGGCTGGGTAACAAGAGGGAAAAGCCAAGAAAGCCCTGAGCCGATGACAAGAAGCGGGCAGTGACGAGGCAGAGAGCCTCTGTAAACAGGAGGCTTACGACCGGACATGGCCGTTTTCTTCTTCACCCCCTTTTGCTGCTGCCACTACTGCCACCACATACCCTGACGGCATTTCGCAGGAGAATTTTCTCTTATTTTTCGTAAACGTTATAAGACCTAGTACTGCTACAGTCTTCCCCAGTCATCGTTTCGAAACATCTGAAACATCTAACTGCCGTCTAGAAAGCCCTCCTTAAATCTAATCTAAATCCCTCACAGGACTTCCCTGGTGGCGCAGTGGTTAAGACGCTGTGCTCCTGACGCAGGGGGCCTGGGTTCGATCCCCGGTCAGGGAAGTAGATTCCACATGCATGCTGCAACTAAGAAGCCCGTGGTCGCACCTAAGACCTGGCGCGACCAAATAGATAAATAAATTTTAAAAAAACAAATATTAAAAATAAATAAATAAATCCCTCACACTGCAGTTTAAGCTTTTTAAACTGCGATATTTCTTATTGGTTAATATTTCTTATTGATTAATCCAACAATTATTTCTCAAGTACGCCCTTAGAGGCCTGACCCAGGGCCACCCCAGGCTACAAGAGAACCTGATCTGGCTCCTTCCTTCCAGAAGCCAATGCTCTGGTTGAGGAGAAAAGATGGACAAACAGGAAGGCACCAGACCCTGCCTGCCTCATCCCCTAACTGCCAAGACCCATGATGGCAAGCGGGCTACAGGGTGAGGAGAAGTACAAGCTGGGGCAGCTGAGGGGACTGCACACAGAGCAGAGGACGTGGGCACCTCCTTGGAGGGCAGATGTGATCTGTGCTCACGGCTGAGAGAAGGAAGGCAGAGCACCTTGAGCAAAATGACCAGGCATGTGCAGGGGACAGAGGAGACACCAAAGCGGCTGCAGCAGAATGTCTGTGTGAGGACGGGGCGGGCTCCCTCGGTCCTACGGGCCGGAAGGAACCCTGGGAGGCTTGGGCAGGAAAGTCACTTCATAAAAATGGTATTTTCGAAAAAAAAAAAAATGGTATTTTCGGCTAGTCATTCTGGCCATTGTGGGTAGAAGAGACTTAAGGGGAAAGAGAATAAATGCAAAATGGACCATTAAGAGGCACTGGCAGAAAACCAGACCCGAGGTGCTGACAGGGATCTGGGCTACCCAGTGGCAAGGGGGATGGAAAGAAAGAATCAGTTCGGGAGACGGTGTAGAGCAAGATTCTGGAAATGGCTATCACCATCTGCTGCTTCCAGCCCACTTCAGTAAATGCGATGCAACTGGGTCACCTCCTGCCTTCCCCGCTCCAGGCCAAGAGCTGCTTCAGGCGCTGGAGGATGTGTAAGCTTGTCAGGAGCAAGCTTCACAAGTGCCCTCTCTCCAGCCAGGCTCCTCTTGGAACGGTCCCTCCAGGGCCGCCCGGGCAAAAAGGAAAAAAGCATACATTGGAAAAGAAGATTCTCTCGAAATAAAAAAATCAAACCATTATTATAAAGGAATTTACCAAGAACTGCTATATTTCCCCCATCCCATTTGTTGGAAGTCAACAAGAGCATCTAGCACTTTGTGTTCATATCAAAAAAGTCAGATCAGGGCTTCCCTGGTGGCGCAGTGGTTGAGAGTCCGCCTGCCGATGGGGACACGGGTTCATGCCCCGGTCCGGGAAGATCCCACATGCTGCAGAGCGGCTGGGCCCGTCAGCCATGGCCGCTGAGCCTGCGCGTCCGGAGCCTGTGCTCCGCAACGGGAGAGGCCACAACAGTGAGAGGCCAGCGTATCGCCAAAAAAAAAACCCAAAAACAAAAACAAAAATAAGCCAGATCAGAGCATCCTAACGCAAAGCAAAGAAAAAAAAGAAAAGAAACAAAAAAAAAAAAACCCTAACCCCCTCCCCCAAACCGCAGAACGGTAACTCCAGAGTTACCGTTCCAAAGCCCAACCCCGGAGGCCAGCAACTCCGGCCCTTGACTCATTCTCTAGTGTCCTGCGGGACCCTCGTCAGACCTCAGGCCCTCCAAACGCTAGCCCGGGTACCCAGCTGCTGGCTCCCACCCTGAAGTCTTTGGAAGTGGCTGGGTGGTGTTACTCTGCACCCTGTCGGCCACCAAAGGGAAAAAGACACCTTCCCCAAAGCCGCAGTTTGGTTCAGGCAATTTAACGTCCCACAAAAGACGACTGGGTATCCCCTGACCCTCGCCCCAAGGACACATCCGTCTGCTCTCAGAAATGTCCTCGGTACAAGGCCAGTGCGACACGCGCTTCTTGAGTGAGGCGGCCCAGCAGCTGCCTCTCGGGACCCACTGGAGACTTGCAGAGGTGGGAAGGGTTCCGCCAGGGGTGTCGGTCGCCAGGGGCCAAGGGGAGGTGGGAGGGAGAAGATAGAACAGAGCCAGGAACGATCCAGAAGCAAGGGCAGCAGAAGCATGTGTGGATGTCGCAGCCCAGTCTCTAAGGTGGACTTGGGGGTCGGGGTCCTCTCTCAGGGCCTGCGACATCCCCTGGCCACCCACCCCACGCCCACCGACCTCCTTAGAGGAGGATCACTGTGGGTGCGGAGCTGAGTGGGCCCTTGTCAAGTTCTGCACCAGACCCTGGTCGAACCTCCAAAAGACAGACTGTGTCCAGCTCGGTCCAGATACCTCAAAGGGGTTTCCTTGTAAAAAGACTTTTCTCCTCCTTCACCAGCCCAACACCCCTGGGCCTGTCACCTTCCGTGTCCACACTGAGAAACAAGCCCCACAGAGTCTAGCCAAATTCCCAATTAGTACTACTAAGAAGTCCCACCTGTGTTTAATCCAGACCCAAGAAGCTCTTGATTGGCTTGTAGTTTCCCCTGGAGACCACTTCTCTCAGCCCTCCCTCTCTGGGAGCTCAGGTTCCTAAAGAAGGCTCCAAGATTCAGTACCCTGTGTCCCAGACTTAACTCTCAAATGGCTTCCAGAACATCTCTCTAAAACACTCACCCCAATATCCCAGAAGGCACTCCGTTTCTCAGGCATTTCTGTGGCCAGTGCAGCACAATATTTAAGAGCATGGCCTTTAGAATCAGGCAGAGCAGAATTTCAAAACCCAGCTCCACCACTCACTTGCTGTGTGACCTTGGCACAGTCACTTAACCTCTCTGATCCTCAGCTGCTTCATCTGTAAAATAAGAATAACACCCTTCCATGGATTTGTCACAAGGACCTGTGAAATGATGCGTATAAAGCACTCAGCACATGCCTGGCACACTGTAGACACTTGATAAACAGTAGCTATGTCTATTAGGACCACCCCACTGCCCTCAGACCAAAACAGGACCGGGGAGGCATAGGGAGTAGGGAATGGAAAAGAAAGACTGCAGCACATGGGTGGCTCCAGCTGGCTCCTTCCTCTTCCTCTGCTAAGGGTCAGCATAGAGCCTCCAGGAACCTCAGATGTGGCGGATGCTGGCCCCAAAAAGGCCTCTTCCTGTGATCATTGAGAACCTGTCTCTCCTGAAGAGGCTCCTGTCCCTGAAAGAGGTCTTCCTGAGAGATCCAGACCCTCCAGAGAGTTGTTGCTCCAGTGTAGAGGGACTTCCAGAGGATGGTTCCCTGTCCAGAAACGCTTCTGTCCTCGTCAAGTATCCCAGCACTCACACCATCTACCACTTGTTGGTTCAAGAGCTATGTTTCCTGACTCGCTCTTGGAGAGTTTATGATAAAGGTGGAAAACAAGAATAAATGCAAGCATAGGATGCATCTATATGCGTGGTTTAACTATTTGGGCTCTGAATATATGTAATGTAAATCACTCTACCCAGATGCACACATGAATTGGGCAAAATGAATTAATCTAGATTTTCCTCCCAAGGTGTTACGTGAGGCAGGTTCTTATTTCACTTGCACTCTGAAATAAAGGTCCCAGGAAGCAGGAAAAGGGCCCACCAAGGAGCACCACAAAGTAGGGCACATAGAAAACCCAAGACCCAGCCAGACTACGTGCACCAAAGATCAGAAGGATCCAGAGCTGGAGCCGCCCTGGAGTTTGTCAATCCAGCTACAAAGCTGTCTGGCCTGGGCTGGACCCTCACCCCTGGCTGGCTCTGGCTCTGGCCTCAAACACACTGAGCCTGCAGAAACAAACAGGGGATTACCCTGACCCAGGCTATGAGGAGACTGCAGTCTTGCTTTCTGAAAAAGTTGCAGCTTGCCAAGAAAAATCATCTCTGATACAGACGAGGAACATCTCGAAAAGAATCAGCGCTGCACACGGGCACGATAAAGCCTGCTTCCCGGAGAGGAGGCCTATTCGAGGTCAACCTGACCTCCTGCTTCCCGACCTGGGTGCCAGCCACAGACATTCCTCCAGGCCTGGCCCTGGGTAAGTCTCTTCTCCCATCTGGGTCTCGGGTCTGAAGCCTCCTGCATTTACTCAAGGCATCTCTCCTCTCTGGCAGGAATCCCACTGCACCAGGCCCGGCAGCCCTCCTTGACTTCATTGCCCGGTTCCCGGTCACCTTCTCTTCCCCACACTCACCCCTGCCTCTGTTTAATCCCCTTCTCGTTTCATCAAGGGCTCTCTCTTAACCTCATGTTACAGGACAGAAAGGAACTCTGCTCCACTCCCCCTGGCCGAGGTGGCTTGGAGCTCCTGTTGGCTGAGCAGTCCTGCCAACTGCTTGGTTCAGCTGCGAGCAAGAAGGACCAGGCCCTTCCAGCCTCCGTCCAGAAAACCAGAGCAATGGCTGTAGAAGCAGCCTGGCCCTGAGCAATCCTGCACCTCCCCTGAGGTTCCCTGGCACGGGGAAGAGGTTTCCTCTTACCACCTTACTGAGTCCAGCTCCTTATCCTGCCGGCCCCCCCTCACTCTCAAGTGATAGCAGAGCCCTTCCTGCCTGGCGTTTATCAGGCCCAGCACACACACGGCACATGCTCAGCTGTCAATGACCTCCAAGACCAAACCCAAGGCCTGGACCCTGCGAGGCCTCCTTGGATATGTAATACCAAAGCAACCGGAAGTTGGCCAGCACTTGCCAAAGCACGTCCTGCACGTACTACCTCAACTGGCTGTGTGAAATACAGGCGTGGGTTCAATCCCTAGCTCTGGTCTGTGGCCTTGGACGTGGTGTTTAAGGTATCTGTGCCGTAGTCCACATCTGTAAAATGCACGTGATAACAGAACCACCACATCAGGATACTTCTTAAGCAAAATAAAATGCGCGTGAAGACATGTAAAATCCCGCCTGGCGTCAGACAGCTCTCAGTAAATGTTCACCATTGTTCTTGTCACCACCATAACCACCTTCAGGCTCTCACAGCAACCTGGCAGAGATTAACGGAGGTTCAGAGAGGTCAAGCAACTTCCTCAAGGTCACCACGGAAAGAAGG